TAAGCCAATTAAGTTCTTTTGTTTTATGAGAAATATGGTAATATTTTCTAAGTCTGAAAATAAATCTGCAACAGCTATTTTGTATTTTTTATAAATGGTGTTATTTTATTTAAACAAGAGAACAATACGATATTGCAATAATTTAATATAGGAAGAACCAGAGTTTCGCAGAGTTTTTTTTCTTAATTTGTAGTTTAAAATGAAAATATTAGTATAAAACAGTTTTAATGCAACATATGATTTTCTTATCAAAATGGAAACATGCTCTTTAAAGCAAAACACAAAACGACACACTTACTTGGATTAAGCTTTAAATTATTGCTCGATGAATATTTTATGACACTAAGTCTGTATTAATTCTGTCACAAGCAAGATTTGTATGATCAGGGTTGAATGAATATAGCAACTGTGTACCATCTGCATATAATTGGATGTTGGTGTAATTTATGCAGTTAAATAAGTTGGCAGTATAGGTTAAGAATAAAATTGGTCCCAGAACTGACCCTTGGAGCACTCCTGATGTAATGGGACAAGTGTTGGATACCGTATCATTTAAAGTCACCATTTATTTGTTGACGGCAACCTAGATATGACATAAAGAAATTTGTCAAAACCATAAGAAGTTAATTTCGCACACAATAAGGAGTGGTTTAAAGTGTCAAAAGTTTTCAGAAAGTCTAAAAGTATAAAAGCAGTTGCAGTATAAAAGCAGTTGCATCACCTTTATCAAGAGAGCAAAAAATATTGTCTGTAATATTTGCAAGAATGGAGGCTGTACTATAACCTTTTTGAAAACCAGACTGTAAGTTAGACATAATTTTATTTTCAATTGCACACATATAAATACGAGCTTCAACTATTTTTTTCTAAAAATTTTGATAAAGCTGGAATAATGGTGATAGGTCTTAAGTCAGAATATTCTACAGGATTTTTTGTTTTAGCTAAAGGTTTAATCAATGATAGTTTCCATTTATTAGGGAAATAACCTGCCTCCAAACAGCTGTTTATAATGTCGGTTATGCGTTTATAAATAACCGGTGAGCAGTATTTTATCATTAGAGCAGAGACTCCATCCCAGCCTTGAGCATTCGATTTTAAATTAAAAATAACGCTTTCAACTTCACTGATTATTGCGAGTTTAAAATGAAAAGATAAATTGTTGTTGAACCTATTTGTAGTGTATCTATTCACCCTCTCGGGGAAATTATTGGAAGGACTAAAAATCGATGAAAAATATTTATTATTTTAGTCTGAATTACTTAACTGTACTGGAATATCAATATATTGTTTACTTTTAATATGCAAATTTTTTATAGCTTTCCAAAGTTCTTTGCCCGAAGAATTGTTTTGAAGAAATGCTAAATATTCTGCTTTTTCCCGTCTGATAGTAGCTAAGGTTAGATTCCTTAGTTGCTTATAGTTAGTCCAATTGTTCGTGCGACTTTCAACTTTTTTTATAGCAGGAGTAAGCCAAGGGGCATAGGGTTTGGACACTCTTGAGGTTACATATGGCGCATGTATGTCAAAAAGATGTATAATGTTATAAAGTTCACTTTATCTTCTATGTTATTTAAGTAGAATATATCATCAGTGCCAACTTTTTTTTAGAATAGCCCTATAGAAAATGTTAATTTAGTTTTTGTAAGGATCATGATTTTTGTATTATTTTTTGTTATCATTTTCCTCATTTATATACACGGAAAATAATACATTAATAATAAGAATAAGTGCCCTTTTCTATTATTTTCTAACATAATCGAATTAATTTCTGACAGGAAAGACAAACAAACATTTAATACACAGTTCTAAAGATTTTTTTTTTTTTAAACAAATATTTCACTCCATCAAAATCTCTTCGATGGTCTTATCATCCCTTAACGGACTCTGCGCTAAACCAGGTTCGCTCTCCAGGAACTGCCTCAACTCGGACTCAAGATCAATATTGGACACCTCAGGATGATTAACTTCCGGCATGGCCATACCCAGTGCCTTCCTTATACTAGGAACGGGGGCAATATCTCCAGGATTAACTCGTCTAGCTATCTCGGTCAAGTTCTCTGTAATATTCTCTGCTATTTGTGTCTCTTCCTCCGAAGGTGGCAAGCAATCATTTAACTGTGGAGGGGGCGGTGCAGACAAACGTTGACACTGTGTTTGCTGCAGTTTCTCTAATAGTTGGCACATGCTGTCGAGCCGTTGCTGTAGTTCGTGACGCTCTTCTGATAATCGAATTTCTTCCTCCATATTATCTAAGAAATTCGTATTGATGCCGATGTCTAAAACAAGTAAAAAAAAAATTACCTTTAAGATTAAACGATGTTGGTATTACATTAAGTTAATTTGTATTTATCTGGCATGCATAAAAAATAAAATAAAAAACTATAATTTGAGTTAACCGTGTAAAATAAAATTTTTATAATAATAGTAATATTTTTTTTAACAATAATACCAAATGTTTCAAATCGTATAATTATTTAATTACAACACACGACATCGATTCACAACAAAATCCAAGAAAACGATATTTTAAAGGCAAAAAAATATGTATTCATTTCAGAATTATACATAATGGTGAAATAATGGGCCGAACCCATGTTGTCTTCTTTCCTGTGCTTCGGTATATTAATTTTGAGATGTGTCAAACTTTTTCGAGACTATTTTAATTTGCATGCAGCATAAAACGTAAGTACGTATTTTGCAACTTAATTTACTGATCTGAATTTAATTCTCATGGTGACAATACTAATAACTTTTTGTGGTGTTTGCTGTCTCTATCTTCAGACGCGGATGTAATTAATAAACGTTTCAGATTTTTTTAATGTAAAACATTCGTTTAATATTTCTTATTGAAATAAATATCATGTTTTATATAATGTTATATGGGGGTATTATATTCTATTTTATTGATCTTGTACTTCTAGTCGGATGAAGCTAACTATAAAGAAACAATGAACTCCTTGATCTATAAAGGCACTGACAACTATAATAAATTGCCTATACATATTTAAAATGCTTATTGATACAGATAAGCATGTTTAAGAATTTTCTGAACTTTTCGTTTTTTATGTACAACACTGTTTGTTCAATTAAAAAAAATCATATTGTGTATTAGGATGTCCTATTTCAAATAAAATTATTATGTTATATAAGACTAAAGACAAAATCTCTGGTATTTTTTTTAACCTTCACCGGATTCAAAATTTAGTGAGCTTAGATTTTGAAATACTATCGAATAAGGAAATAAAAAAAATGGAAATACCCTTAATAAATATTATGTAACTATTCTCTTTATGTGTAGGATGACATTGACTTACCTTGCAAACTTTTTAACTCGTCCATGTTGACCTTCACTGCATCGATAGGTTTTACTTCCAACATAGTTTTAACTGCTGCTTCCTCTTCTCTCAAATTCTTATTGTCCTCCAATAACTTCTTGGTCTTGGAATGGTCTCCACCCGTTAACAAATCTAGCAAGGAATCCACTAAATGAGTTGCGTACTCAGAATCTTTAACAAAATCCTGCACACTCTCTGCATACTGAACGGCAGTATCTGATCCATACGTCTGATAGACCAAATCGCTCTCTTCTTTACTGAGATTCGAAAATGCAGAGTCATAGCTGGGAGCATATGATCCAAATGCTCCGTAATATAGTGGCTTAACAGGTTTGGCAATATTCCTGCGGTCCTCTCTGAAACCCTGCAGTTGACTGGAGCCCTCAGTGAGCTTGCCACACAGCTGTCCAAGCAAGACAGGACGTTTCTTTGTACCCGGGATAACTCCATCACCTCCAACTAGAATGGTTAAATTGGTGGTGCCATCTTTCTTTTGCTTTAAAAAGCCCATGCCGGGACCACCGCGTTTCATCACTGAAATAAAATATACGTGTTATATTATTATGCAATTATCGAACTACGAACTTATAAGCCATCAGTAAAAAAATATGCCAATACAACATATGTTCAAATATCTTTAAAAACTTCATTGTTCTTTGCCCTACCGATTGATGATGTATCATACTCCGTCACTACCTATGGAATCTTTTTTTATCGAGTGCGGTTTGGCGAAGTGACTCGCTAATCGTAAACTAGTTCTATCGGTTGTGTTCATCCGAGCTAGTCGCTACTACAGCGATGATGAATCGGTCAGCCGATGGCACTATTCCAGCTGAACGCTCATGAAGCGGTTGCCATTTTTTGTAGCAAACAAAAATTGTGCTCAGTGATCAGATGTAGTTGGCGGCCAAATTTGGTAACAACACTAAATTTCTATTTCTGTTATTATCCAGTAAGGCTGTGAATTTTTAAAAGGAATTGGTATAAGCACCTTTTTCTTTTTCTTTATTACATATATGGATATTTCTTTTGTAACCTGTTTAGTTTGTTCGGTATGTTTATATTTCTATAAATTATAATTTTTTTTTTTTTCTTTTTACTTTTTAACTACTTTTATAATGAAATTTGTATTGCTCTGTAAATAGTTTTTTATACTGTTGGGCAATAAAGCTATTATTATTATTATTATTATCTATATTATCAGCAAATAAGCAAAAGATATTATGATCGCTATGATCACTATGACATGATCGCTGATCGGCAAAAATTCGATCAGGTTGCAATATGATTGGATGAACACAACCAATATTGATGTTCTTGTTTACAAGAATTTCTATCATTTAACGATGAACAAACACATCAGTCAAGCTTTGGTTATTTAACAATCTGTGTTTATGTCGTCCGTGTATTTTAAGTGTTTATTTTCTGATTCTTCCGTGTTGCAATTTCACATTAATTGCAACACATAAATAAGTTTCTCAATTAAAATCTGGCCCACCCTGTATATATATTAAATTAAACACCACAGGTAATACAACCCTCTATATCCCTCAAGGTACCACAAGGTACCTTGTTTATATGGAGAGGGCTATACATTTAGAGACAATGGACACATACCCAACATCCGAGTATGTTAGGATTAATTTATGATTTAGAAAAAATCCTAGGTTCTCGACCGGAGATCGAACCCAGGACTCCAATGTCCGAGACAAGTGTCCTTACCACTCGACTGCGAAGCCATATGTTTCAACTTAGTTTCAAGGTAAAATACTGTTAATTCTCAGAAATGTCCCTCTGAAATAAATTACTCACATAGTTTTGCTCTGGCTTGCCTTGCGGCGATCTGTGATTTCGACAAGATCTCTTCTGGAGTCAAATCATCGGGGATGGCCTCAAATTTTGTAGTAGGCATCCGGCGTTTCCCTTCGTGGACATGATCGCTATCCTCATGTTCATCATGGTGTTTGTGTGCCCTCATTTCAGGAGTAATTTCAAAACCAACGTCATCACTAGTGATTTCTGGTACCAAATTTAACATCCAACCTAATTTCTCTGGAACCATTATTTTCAAACCGGCCTGAAGAAGTTTCTTACTTGCCTTATAGTACACTGTATCTATACGATTGTATTTCATGGCATTCGTACACATTAACTTAAAATCTGTCACAAACTCCTAAAGAAATATCTGTTTAACTATATCATAATATTTTTTACGGAAACAGTACTTACATCTAAATGAGCGTATTGATTCTCCTCAATCTTCTGCCTCATTGTACTGAAATCCATAGGATTTGTAATGATGGTGGAGTAACCAGGAGCTATATTATCAGTGACAGGCCATGCAAAATAATTCTGCGGGTCCTTTTTCTCCAACAGACCTAATAAATGATCTAAACCTTTGGACAATGGAGTACGTTCTTGCAATTTTTTAATAACACATGTCCTAAGTTCCCGACCAGGACTACCAATTTGAGGGTAAACACTTAATTCTTCTAAAAAAAAACCACCACATAAATTAGACAACCCCCAAGCCAAAGCTGGAGCTGCACGGACAGGGGTTACACAGTTGAAAAAAACGCATACACACACACACATACACAAGCAATGCCTCGGCTTTGTCACAATCAAAACCGGGATTTAAACCCGGGAGTCGATAAGCAGTAAACCAGCTACGTTTGTCACTTAACGCTCTGGCCCACTGCACTACTGAGCTCGGATAAAGATATCTTTTAACAAAAAGATGTGATTTTGTACCTACACGCTGATATTATTATTAATATTTATAATAAAAGTTACCATTATCTCCATCGTTATCCTCTCTCTTGCGTTTTTTGTCTTTGTGGTGATGCTTGTGTTTCTTTTCTCGATCTTTATTTTTGTCTTTTTTCTTTTTCTTCTTTTTGGATTTCTTGTGATGAGACCTAGACATTCCAAAGTAGGGATCGTTGGAATCTACTTGCATCTGTTCCTCAATTCCATCAGTAACAAGAGGTATATTCTGAGGAAATTCTGCATTATGTTCTGGGGTAGTTTGTGAACCTACTTTGAGGATCAACTTCAACCCGCCACATTTTTCTTCCCGTTCACGTTTTTCACTTTTGTGTTTTTTATGTTTTTTGATGCAGGGAACGGCAGCAGGCGAGGACATTTTACTTACGATTACTAACAAAAAACCAAAGACTCGGATAAAACCATTTATAGTTTACTTCGTCTTTTTTTTTTAGGTTAACTGGACTGAACGCCTTGAGGCATATTTTTGCGTCTGAGCAGAGACAACCACACTCTTGTCTGAGACGATACAACTTTGCTACAAGCGACTAGAGGTGGGACGGTATTTCTGTAACGTTACTTTGGAACGGTATTTTTCCGTCGCGTTCAGTCGCGTTACCAAATGATAAAATAACGAGTTACAGGTGACTGAGGTTACTTCTTACTTCGTAGTCGTTTTTGCGGGCGCGTTCGCTGTTCGCTGCCGCCAGCCAAGCCAGCTTTCAGTTACTCAGTGGGTCTCGAGGCAGTCGAAGCGATTTGCGATTCAGCGTTCCAGCATTGGGCAGTATTATATTAATGTAATGTATTATTTGGTTTTGGTAGTTGGTATATTTGTCGAGAGCGGAGCGGAGCGAGTTATACGGTGGCAAGAAAACGGAAAGTTTGTGTGGGACCTAGATATGATGTATTTTGTTCTTTAATTATTGTTTTTATAGGTATCATGAATTCTATCAAGCGATCTGCTATCTGGAATTTCTTTTCCGATAATAAAAAGACAGATAAAATTGCGACTTGCAATATTTGTAAACAAGACTTGAGTTATGTCAATATCAAATAATTTAAAAAAAGCATATCCAAAGAAAACATCCATTAATAAAAATTGATTTAATGCGAGTTTTATTTTCAAGTGCGATATTGTATTGAACTAATAATAAACGAAACAACAAGCCACAATGTACCTTGTACCTGGTAGATGTCGAAGCAGTATACCTATAATAACATTTAAATACCCTTATCTATCGGTCCGCGACATGCCGATGAAACCGTTATACACAGCACAGAACACGTATAGCCGCTACAGCGACTTGTACTTAGAGTCGTTCCAAAGTAACGTTATTTTGGAGCGGTATTTTCCTGGAGCGAACGCGACTGGAGCGCTCCACATGAGGAACCGTTCTTCCCATCTCTACAAGCGACCAGAGACGGTGGTTGTCTATAAAAGCGACTTACAGAGGTGCCATTCGAACAAATAAGTCATGACGTCACGGCAAAGACCCCTATCAGGCAGGGTACAGCGCGCGCGCGGCCTCGGGAGAACGTCAAAAGATTTGTAAATGACAGAATGATCAAATGTTTTGTATGTTTTCTGGTTCTTATTATGCCTCGATGAAAAATTAAATTATATTAAAATACGTTTGCACAACACAGAACATCAGACATAGAAAACAGTGGAATTAACTCTTTAGTTAATTCCACTGTTTGTATTTATTTAAATACAAAAATGAAAATGCAAGAATGGAGGTTGTGAGAAATGTCGTTTGTTTTACCACCAATCTCAGCGAATCTAAGTAGTTTTACGGTTACGGAGGATACATTAAAAGAAATTATGCTTTTATTTATGCAGCACAATGTGAGCACAACCGTAAAACAACTTAGAACAGCCGAGATTAGTGGTAAAAGGAACACACACACACACACCTACTGATAATGTAACCTTGGCCATACTATAAAATAAAAACCATTTTAGTGACGAATCAACTACCACATCATGCTTTCGCCTCTGAAGCCTCAAGCTATTTTTTCGTGCCAGAAAATGCAAATAGGTTTACGTGATCATAATCCATGTTTTCAAATAAGAGCTCTATGTGCAAGACAATTAATTAGAGAGCCGTTAGAAGTACTAGAACAAATCATAATCAGTGTGATCATTTTGTTCACGAATGAAAGCAGCTGTACACAATTTTGTGTTCTGTGTTATGTAGTGTACACAACTGTTCTGTTGTGTACACTACAAAACAACTAAATTGAGTGTACACTATTTCCAAAGATTTGCTATTTTAATAAGGTCCGGTATATCCAAGATTTATAAACTAAGAGAAAATCTTGCTGTATATCCATCTTCTGGTAGAGTGGCCGTTAGTTACGAAACAGATTTATATTAATTAGAACGTCTCCACATTTGCAAAAAACTGATCACAGCAAAGTTTATGAAATAACTGTTCCGTAAAAATAGCAACTATTATTTTACAATTTCATACCTAAATTTATCTGTTCGGTAACTTTACCAGGAGGTGGATATACAGGCCCTAAACCAAATATTTGTAACAGTCTTAACAGCTTTATTCTGCAACCATAACTACAGAGCTTTCATAAATAATCATAAATTACATGATCAATTGGTACCTTTTAACTTATGATTTTGTTTCTTTCATATTGCATATATGTATGTTAAGGAATAGTTTTCAATTAGGGAGATGGAGAGCACTGAACGCGCCCTAGTTGCTTCGCCAAACGCGCCCAATGTAATTTAAATTGTAATCTGCATAGACTTATATCCGAGGTCTGTGGTAATCTGCTGTGATACAACCAAATATACAACACTGCTGTAGTGGTTGCTAGCACATACCATGTGGTTGCGTGCTGGTTGGCAGTCAGCTTTGCAAAATATCAGAGATTCCAAAAATGTTCAAATATATTAATAATTAATTGTAAATCCCCAATCTGTGTTATAACGTACAAAATTAAATTAATTACCTCATGCAATAATTTTCAGAGATATGGAATATACAAGAACGAATTTTCCATGTGAATAAAAAACAAAAACAAAGTTCACTATAATACCGCTGTTATATTAGAGGTGACCTTTATGAAAGTGTTTAAATTTTTTTTCTTAACAGGATATATATTTATTTCATTTCGCGTACTGTTGTTGGTGTATTCGCTCTCTGTTTATTTCTATCCTACATTAGGTAGTTTGTTACTGATTTTTCAGTAAGAAAATTTGTTAGTTGTTTTATTTTTGAAAAAAGTTGACTGAAAATATACGGTAAGTACAGCGATTTCGTATTTACTAATCTGCTTAATAATAAAGGTACGTGGGTAGATGCCGTTTCTTCTATAAATATGTCAATTTTTATGATTATCAGCGGTCAACTGGCATTTTGCCTAGTGAAATTTTTTCGAAATTAAATCTCTCATTCTTGTATAATTTGCTTACTATGATGTCGATTTTTAATTTAGCCACTAAAAATAATTATGATAAACGTACATAATTAGAATTTTTTTTTGACCTCATCAGTTGAAAAAAATTGTCTATCTAGAATTTGTTTATGAACTGCCAAGGAGCCTGCTTATCTATTATGTGTTTACGACATAGATTTAGATATTGTTTAAAATAGTGCTGTGTGTTGCTGAAATAATGAGCTAGTGAAAAATTTAATATTATTAGAACCCTTTATGGACTTTCATCAATTAATTATCTAGCACATTTAAAAACTTATTTATTAATTTGAACTACCTAATAATTATATTTTTTATTTGATAAAGCAGTTTAAAAGTTTTTCTGTTTCAGTATTTTAAAACCTAAATATGTCGAGGGAAAGGGCTTCTCGTAGATTTTATAGAGCAGAATCCTACAGCAATCTGTTAGCATGCATGGACCGAGGTATGACCGCAGAAGAAGAAAATCGGTGGACATTTGAAATTGCATGGGAAGCAGCCAACAAAGGTATTATGTAGAAAAAATTGT